ACTGATCGTTATCAGTTTGTAGATGTAAATGGTGACTTCTCTATGCATACTAAGGTAAAGTTTGGTGGTCCCGCAAGGCTCTGTTTCAGGCCCACTGCTCTTTTCTTCATATAGGCTACCTCTGGGAAAACTTATTTGTAAACATGGTATTAGCTTCCACTGTTACGCTGATGACACACAGTTGTATGTTTCAGCAAAGCCAGATGACAGACACCAGCTTAATAAAGTTGAGGAATGTGTAAAAGACATTAGAAACTGGATACTTATTAGCTTTCTCTTACTTAATTCTGACAAGACAGAAGTACTTGTACTCAGACCACATGCAGCTAGAAGTAAGCTTTCTGATTACATAATAACTCTGGATGGCCTTTCTGTTTCATCATGTGCAGCAGTAAAAGACCTTGGTGTGATGATCGACTCTAGTCTTTCATTTGCTCATGTAGATAATATCACCACAGTGACATTGCCAAGAACAATATGTCCCTCCAAAATTTACAAAAGTACAAGACAAAAACTTACCAGGGAGGCTGCCAAGAGATCAACAGCAACATTAAAGGAGCTGCAGGAATAGCTGAAAGGACTGATTACTCTCTGCATGTGACAACAATCTCTTGTATTCTTCACATGTCTGGGTGTCAAAAATGGTGAGTAGAGACAGATGCAAATGCATTTCAACACTTTAAAAAGGGCAGTGCAGAGAAATCCAAATCGTCAGGCAAGAACAAGGTCAAAACACAGGCGTGAGTCAGGCAGTGAACAAACAGAGTAGACTAGGCAAAAACAAATTTGTGAATCCAAAAACAGGCAATAATCCAACAACCAGAACAACAATCAAAGGCAAAATGGCTTGGTAAAGTCAGATGTATGGCAAAAACTGAGCATGTACTTTGCAGCGATATAGTAGAGTAAGATAATAGTATAGTAGAGTCTTTCATAGTGTGTGCTTGTGTGTGTGTGTGTGTGATTGGAAGTCCAGTGATTGGGAGTGGGTTAGTTGCCATGGTTTCTGGGAAGTGTAGCTCAGAACAGCCATCTTAGTAGGCCGCAGTGTATTCCATGAAGTGGAGTTCGTGGCCTGCGTGGACCTGACACTGGGCTATGGGGTAGGGTGGAAACCCTTTCTCACAAAAAACATGTAACCCAACTAAATCACCCCAAATCATGTGGCAAAACATGTTATGGTCTGATATAATAATACCATAATTCCAAAAGATATGCTTGGTGCAAAAAAAAATCTCAGGCTTATTTCTGGGCCAAAGTCATTTTCAGAACTACAGGACTCAGGTTGGAGTCACTGTCACATAGCAAGGTCAGCACAGAGCTATTGGGGAGTCAAGCTCTGACACAGTAACACACAGCTTTGGTTTGAAGCTGGTGACTGACTCTAGTCTGTTCCAGTGTTCCACTGCACTGAATGGAATCATCTGAGGCAGACCCATAGCTGTGCTTTGTTCCTTCATATCTGAACATATTATAAAGCCTCTAAAGCATGCAGCATCACAACGTGGAATTAAACATGTTTAATCACTGTTCTTTTTTAATACTTTTAATTCTAAGTGAACAAAGTTTTATTGTGTTTAGGATGACCTAGTGGGTAAATTGTTAAGCACATGACCAATAAAACACATTTCTGTTTCTTTCACCAACCATAAACATCTCAATGTTTCTTTGGTTGTCATACATACAAGACATATGGAAGTAACCTCAAAGTAAACAAAGTAACCTCAGTATGTGCCAGGATCAAACTATAGACTTATAGCTAGAGCACCCACAGTACCCTTTTATCTCAGCTGTGTTTAAGGGGGTTTGACTGCAACCCACTAACTAATGTGTTTCCTTTTACTTTCTAGACAAAAGACACCCTGAATCAATCACTTGCACGCTTTCAGCACAATATTGATTGAAATATTTTAGGAATTCACCACAGCTTGTGTGCAGGCATTGAATGAAGTAAACACACAGAGGCATCATGTTAAAATAACAGAAAATCATAAATAAAACAAAACAAGCAACCATGTCAAAAAATATTTTGTTTCCTGTGTTTATATATAATAAATTGCAAAAATTAATGGGTTTCTTGGCTATACAACAAATCTGTGTGGTTGGCACTTTGATTTGAGGGTCTCCTTCTATCTCACTGACATGCCTGAGTAAGTGCGCTGAAATAAGTGTTTACTATTGCGTATATTTGGTCACGAATGATGCTAAATGTAAACTAAAAATGTGAAATGATTAACATTTGTTATTAATATTTGAATGGATTTGAATATTAATAATATATTAATATTAATAATGAATAATATTTGAATGTATCAGAATCTCAGAAATGCCAGAGTAGAACCCAGAAATATGACGGAGCAAGCAGGTATGTAGAAGAGTATAAAGACTCCAAAACTAATCAGAAGATACAGCAGCGCTCCAGTTGTGTTTCCAGTCCTCAGCTACCTGAAAGACAGAAAAGAGGTAAAGAAAACATTTAAATAACCCAAAGTGACCACTATAAACACAATAAGTACTGATGTCTGAACAATGCCTGAATACCTGCACTATCAGCTGCCAAACTTCATTACTTTTATATTTTATATTTAAGTCCAATACCAATTGTTCTCTTAGACATGTGGTTATGGAATGTCTTAAGTTCTAAATAAAGTGTAGCCGGGAGGCTAGACGTTCAGTACATAGCTACCTTAGTTGAAATAAATGTTTTGCCAGTTTGCCAGCAAGTAATTAAATCTGAAAGCCCTGTACATGTCCATCAGTGAAGTATAAATGGGCTCTGAGTGACTTTTTCTTTGATGCTTGCAACTCAACACAAGCCACACTAATCCTTCATGCTGTGGAGCCACTGGAGCGGGGCATGGTCCGAACAGAGGGTGAAAGCTCCTCCCAACAGATACTATCGGGGGTGAGGACCACCCACCTGATGGGCAATCAATCCTGCTGTACTTATTCTCTCACACCAAGAGCTTGCTTCTGATGTACAGCACAGGTCGCTCCTCCCCCACCACCACCTGGGACAACACAGACCCCAGCCCTCTGTCCGATGTCAGTCTGCAAAAACAAAGGGGAGAGAGAAGTCAGGAGAATGTAAGAGTGGTCTGCCACAGAGTGCAGCTTTTAGTACAGAGCAAGCTGTTGGCATGACTTCGTACACTGGACCAGATCTGGTGCTCCCTTTTTAGTGAGGTCAGTCAGCGGTCTGGTAACATCCAAACAATTAGGCACAAACCTACGATAATAGCCAGGCTGCCCTAGAAACTGTCTCACCTCCATTTTGGTCTTGGGCAAAATCACTGCTGTCTTATCAATTTTGCACCTGCCCATGGCCCAAGTGGAAGCCCAGATACCATACTTCCACCCGTCCTATCGCGCACCTCTTTGGGTTTGCTGTGATTCCATCTCAATGATCTCAGGACAGCCCTCAGATGCTGACTGTGCTGCTGCCAATCTTTACTATAAATAATAATGTCATCTAAATAGCCAGCGGCCTAAGCAGCATGCGGATGGAGGATTCTGTTCATGAGTCTCAGGAACATCATTGGGGCTCTGAACAGCCCAAAAGGAAGGGTCAGGAATTGGTGTAAACCAAACAGAGTGGAAAAGACTGTTTTCTCATGAGATATTAGAAACAATATCCCTTTGTCAAATCCAGTGTCAAATAAAAGCAAGCCGCACCTAACTGATCGAGCATTTAGTGGGGCATTGGGTAAGTGTCAAATTTAGACACCGCGTTGACCTTTCTAAAGTCTACACAGAACCTAACTGAACTGTCTGAACCAAGACCACCAGATGCCTTTATTTCCCCCATATTGAGCATGGCTGTGAGCTCCTCCTGAACCACCTGCTTTTTGTGCTCGGGCAAACAATAGGGGTGGCTGCATACCACCACCCTAGGGCCATCTCAATGTGATGTTCTATGAGATTAGTGTGACCGGGTAGGGGTAAGAACACATCAGAACATTCTGCCTGCAACTTGGCAACCTCAAGCTCAATTTTTTTAGATTTACCTCCAGGCCTAGCTCCTCCTTCTCCGGAAAGACCATTACCAAAGCCTGGCTTTGAGTTTGCTTCACCACATAGTCAACGTCCCAGACTCACCGTGTGACCTTGAAGGGCCCTTGAAGGGCCCTTGCAACTAGATGTTTATTCTCCCCCTCAGGTTGGTGACTCCAAGGCTGCAGGTGTGGGAGTAAAGCCTGGGCCAGTGTGCTGGCATATGGGGGGAACCCAGGCATTTCCAGGACCAATGCCATGTGATGGAGGTGGGGAGTTGGTCCCTGTCGGGAAATGTTATTCCAGGTGGCTCATCATAATCCAGTGGCGGGGCATTTAGGTCAGGACAAAACACTAAACCTTTTTATAGCCAGCTATAATTTGAAATTTGCTACAGGCACAAGAACATCAATCCCACCTGTATAATGGAGATTGTGGACATTCGCCTATCTTCCCAAATCACGGAGGTTGCCAAGACAAACTTTTCCAACCTGTTTCCCACCCAGTTGCATTGATCTCATAGAATACCACATTGAGACACCCCCAGGGGTGGTGGTACAGAGCCACCGCTATCATTTGCCGGAACACAAAAACCAAATGGTGCAGGAGGTGCTCACGGAAATGCTGGATGTGGGTGTAAACAAGGAGTCCCACAGTAACTGGCCCAGTCCATTGGTCCTGGTTCCCAAGGAAGATGGTTCAGTGGACTTTAGAAAAGTCAAAGAGGTGTCTAAATTTGATGCTTACCCAATGCGTACCCGCATTGACAAACTGCTGAATTGGTTAGGTGCAGCTCACTTTTATTCGACATTGTATTTGACAATGACTCCCATATCCCATGAGAAAATGGGATATTTTAGCCTTTTCCACTCTGTTTGGTTTACACTAATTCGTACCTTTTGGGTTGTTCGGAGCCCCATTCTGACTCATGGACAGAATCCTCTCTCCACACAATGCCTACGCTGATGCCTATCTGGATGACATTATTATTTTTTAGTAATGAGGGGTACACAGTGGTTTAGTGGTTAGCATGTTTGCCTTGCACTGCTGGGGTTAGGGGTTTGAATCCCACTGTGGAGTTTGTATAGGTACTTCAGTTTCCTACCCCCATCTGAAGACATGTTGTAGGCAGATTGGAGTTTCCAAATTTTCTGGTGTGTGTGTGTGGGTGTGTGTGTGGGTGTGTGTGTGTGTGTGTGTGTGTGTGTGTGTGTGTGTGTGCGCGCGCGCGTGTGCGCGCCTTGCACTGGGTTGGCACCCTGCTTTGTGCCCTGAGTTTCCTGCTATAGGCCACAGGCTCTCACATGACCCTCTATAAGATAGACAGTATGGAAAATGGATGGATTGTCAGCAACACATTCAGCATCTGAGGGCTGCCCTGGTATCACTGAGACAGGCAGAAAACCCAAAGAAGTGTGCAATTGGGTGGGTGGAATTATGGGCCATGGGCCATGGGCCGTGGGCCATGGGCCGTGGGCAGGGTCGTCCTCAAATTGATAAAACAGCAGCAATTGCAGCCTTCCTGAGACTCACTAAAAAGGGAGTGCAAGAGCTGGTGGACAGAGCCATGAAGCAGCTAATTCAGGTAAAAGCTGCACTCTGTGGCAGACTACTCTTACATTCTCCTGACCAGCAAATGAGTATTTCTCACCATCCAATACTATCTGTTGTGATGGGCCTTCATCCTCTGTTCGGACCACACCCTGCTCCAGTGGCTCCACTGCATGAAGGACTCCAACGTGTGGATCAATCGGTATCTGGCACTTCAGCCATTTGGAAGTGGGGGCGTGGTCGAGTACCTGCTTGTGAATAGGGGTGGAGCTATAGAAAGTGAGTGGTAAGGATTACACACCTGTGCAGCATTGTGTCATGATGTCTTGTTATGCCACTATTACATTTACATGCACGTTTTTCATAACATCTTTTTCCTAGAATAAAATGTTTGTTTTAGTTTGTTCAACTAAAAAAATAAATTTTAATGTAAATAGTGTATAGTATACACTATACATAATTGTGGAAACAGGGGTGTTGTCAAGCACTGGTTTGTGAATGGAGGGCGGAGTCGGAGAGAATGAGTAGTTCAGAGGAGAGTGCACCTGTGGGTAATTGTACTAATAAGTGTTCTGTGTTGCAGTGAATGGTGGAGGAGGAGATAAAGGGAGGGAGTTGCACAGATGTGGGAGAGAGATACCCATGCTGAACTGAACTGTGCGTGTGTGTTTATGTTGGTGTGTGTGTCAGAGTGAGACCTCAAAGTAGGAAGTGCTGAACAATAAGAATAAAAGCTCTTTTGATTTGTTCCAAACCTGCCTCCTGCTTCCTCATTCCCACTTAAACCCAAGAGAGTGTCACACTGGTACCAAAACCTGGGATTGAGGAAGATACGCTGTCATGGAGCCCTCGCTCCTCAAAGGGTCACTCCTTGTGGTTCTCCCCATTTGAATCGCTATATGGGTGCAAGCCTCATGCGATCTTAGACCTTGTCAGGGAAAATCGGGAGGAGGGGCCTTCATAGAGGAAAAGCGAAATAGCAACCTAGTTTGCAGCTTCAAATTACTCAACACAGTATACTTTTGAAAGTATTAATAGTGAACATTAGCTTTTCCTGCCCAGATGTACAGTCTTACGCCATTGGGAGAGGTGAGCATTTCTCTCATCACAATCTCAGATGAGAGAAAAGTATGCCTTCTCTTTTCAGCCAAATTGCACATGGCCCAAGAGAGAGAGCTTATCTCTTTTTTTGGTCCATCCCAGTTGCCTGTTGGACCCCGAGAGAGCAAATAAATTCTGGTGAAGTTCTTTTAATGGCTCACAGGGGTGGGGTCTAGTCATCTTATGTACTTCTGGTTGCTGTAAAAGTACTTTAATGGATGCATGGTACCTACATTATTATTTATAGTAATGACTATGCACCTTTAACTTCTGAGGTCTGTCCTGAGATCCTTGAGATTGGCAGGACTCACAGCAAACCCAAAAGGTGTGCAATTGGACGAGGGTAAGTGTGGTATCTGGGCTTCCACTTGGGCTATGGGCAGGTGCCTGAGACAGTCAGTTGTCAGTGAGAGTCACTGAGACTTTTTCTGGGGCTGGCTGGCTATTATCATAGGTTTGTACATAATTATTTGAACATCACCAGCCCTCTGACTGATCTCACTAAAAAGAGAATGTCAGATCTGGTCCAGTGAACGGAGTCGTGTCAACAGGCCTTTACTCAGTTAAAAGCTGCACTTTGTGGTGGGCCACTTTTACATTCTCCTGACTCCTCTCTACCACTTATTTTGCAGACTGATGTGTCAGACAGGGGCCGGTGGGCCCTCAGTGGCGTACATCAGCTGCAAGCTCTCTGTGGGGGAGAGTATATACAGCACAATCAGCAAAGTGTGCCTGGCCATCAATTGACCAGTCCCCAAAATCCGATACTATCTGTTGGGACAGGCGTTCACCCTCTGCACAAAGTAGGAAAGCACAATGAGCAACAGGAATAAAAGCCCTTTTCAGTTGTTCCAAACCTGCCTCCCGCTGCCTCAGTACCACTCGAACCCAAGAGTGTGTCACAATAATATATTATTTTAGTGGAATAAACTTATGTAAAATAATCAGATAAATAATCAGGAAAAAGATGTTATGTACCATAATTAATATCCAGTCTGTCAATTTTTAGAAAACCAGTCTTATATAAAGGTCCTGTGAATCTAGAGTCTGGATTAACCCTGTATAATTTTTTTTTTCTAAATTAATGTATGAATTAATTATTTTTGTTTTTTGGTTAAATAAAGCTGTACTTGTACTATGATTTGCTTATGCTTAAATATGTGATATCCTGGAAAGAATGTACTATACTGTATTTGAATTCAAGAAAATCAATAAAAACAAACAAACAAATAAACAATCAAATAAATAAATAAATAAATACTCCTGCAAGATTAGCTATGACAGCACAGACATGAGGCCACCCTGGGACATCAAGCAGTCAGCCACTTCACCATCAACAAGCTTGAGTGAATATGTTATTTTATAATTTCTGGTGTTTCAAGTTAGACTTAATTTAACATATGTGATTTATTATTAATTGTTTGTGCCTAAGTTTACATTTGTGTATTTGTAGCTAGTTAGGGGTCCACGCACAAAAGAGTGCAATTACGTTTTGGCCCATATCTCATGAACCGTTAGTACTACAAACTCTTTATTCCACTGATTCTCTGGGTTCTCCCAAACAAAAAAGCCTCAAGAACCATTTAGCTCTGCCCATATTTTTATTATTACTTTGCATAATATAAAACACCTACTTTTGCTAACTGGTCCTAGATTTTTGGCCTGACAGAGTGGGAATCTCAATAATTGTCAACATGTTGCCAATCAATACTAATAAACAGTTGCACGGATTTGCATTAAAATTTAAATGCCATGTACACTACAAGATTCTGAAGTCAGCTGCAAAGCTTGGGGTGTGGTTATACAAAGGAGGTGGAGCTAAAGTCAAATAGCTGTTCCTCAGTAAAAGTACTTCCAATCAAGCTGAAATGTGGTATACTGCATCTATGTGCAAAAAGTGTACAATATAAATAGTGAAATAGTGTAAACATAAGAAGTAGCAGCCTATGTACAGTATAATATAATAAATATTGTAGCAGCATAATGTAATGTGCAAAATCTTGCAAAAAAATTGGAAAGAGGATGGAGGGTGCACTTGTGTGTGTGTATGTATGTGTGTGTGTTCTTTCAGTCCAGTTTCTGGGTGTTGAGGAGTCTGATGACTTGGGGGAAGAAACTGTTGCACAGTCTGGTCGTGAGGGGCTGAATGCTTCGGTACCGTTTGCCAGACAGCAGGAGGGTGAAGAGTGTGTGAGAGGGGTGTGTGGAGTTATCCACAATGCTGGTGGCTTTGCGGATGCAGTGTGAGGTGTAAATGTCTGTGATGGAGGGAAGAGAGACTCCGATGATCTTCTCAGCTGTCCTCATTATGAAGGGTCTTGCGAGACCGATCCGAGACAGTGCAATTCCCAAACCAGGCAGTGATGCAGCTGCGCAGGATGCTCTCCATAGTCTCTCTGTAGAACATGGTGAGGATGGGGGGTGGGAGATGTGCTTTCCTCAGTCTTCTCAGAAAGTACAGGCACTGCTGGGCTTTCTTTGTTATGGAACTGGTGTTGAGCAACCAGCTGAGGTTCTCCGCCAGGTGAATACCAAGAAATTTGGTGCTCTTGGCAAGCTCCACAGAGGAGCCGCCAATGTTCAGCAGAGAGTGGTCATTCTGTGCTCTTCTTGACAAGTCAACAACCAACTCTTTAGTTTTGTCCACATTTAGAGACAGGTTGTTGGCTCTGCACCAGTCCTTTAGCCGCTGCACCTCCTCTCTGTATGCTGACTCGTTGCTCTTGCTGATGAGACCCACCACAGTCGTGTCATCCGCGAACTTGATGATGTGATTCGAGCTGTGCATTGCTACACAGTCGTGAGTGAACAGCAATGCACTGAGCACATAGCCCTGTGGGGCCCCAGTGCCCAGAGTGGTGGTGTTGGAGATGCTGTTCCCAATCTGGACTGACTGAGGTCTCCCAGTCAAGAAGTCCAGGATCTAGTTGCAGAGGGAGGTGTTCAGGCCCAGCAGGTTCAGCTTTCCAATCACATGCTGAGGAATATTTGTGTTGAATGCTGAACTGAAGTCTATGAACGGCATTCAAACATTTGTGGCTTTATTGTCCAGGTGGGTGAGGGCCAGATGGAGGGTGGTGGTGATGGTGTCATCTGTTGAGCGGTTGCGAAGGTAAGAGAATTGCAGGGGGTCCAGTGAGGGGGGCAGCAGGGTCTTAATGTGCCTCATGACGAGCCTCTCGGAACACTTCATGATGATGAGTGTGAGTGCAATGGGACGGTAGTCATTGAGGCAGGACACTTCTTAGGCACAGGGATGATGGTGGTGGCCTTGAGGCATGTTGGAACGATGGCGCTGCTCAGGGAGGTGTTGAAGATGTCTGTGAAAACATCCGCCAGCTGGTCTGCACATCCTCTGAGCACTCTGCCAGGAATGTTGCCTGGTCCAGCAGCCTTCCACTGGTTGACTCTGTGTAGAGTCTTCCTC